GGGGTTTCACCATGTTGACCAGGATGGTCTCGATCTCTTGACCTTGTGATCCACCCGCCTCGGCCTCCCAAAGTGCTGGGATTACAGGCGTGAGCCACCGCGCCCAGCTCATTTGAGGTTAATGGGTTCTAGACCAGCCTGGCCAACATGGTGAAATCCTGTCTACTAAAAATACAAAAATTAGGCCAGGCGCAGTGGCTTATGCTTGTAATCCCAGCACTTTGGGAGGTTGAGGGGGGAGGATCACCTGAGATCAAGACATCAAGACCAGCCTGGCCAACATGATGAAACGTTGTCTCTACTAAAAATACAAAAAATGAGCCAGGCATGGTGGCAGGTGCCTGTAATCCCACCTACTTGGGAGGCTGAGGCAGGAGAATCACTTGAACCTGGGAGGCGGAGGTTGCAGTGAGCCGAGATTTATTGCATCACTGCACTCCAGCTTGGGCAACAGTAAGACCATCTCAATAAAAACAAAAACAAACAAACAAACAAAATATATATATAAATTAGATTTGGTGGTGCACCCCTGTAATCCCAACTACTGCAAATGCTGAGGTAAAAGAATCACTTAAAACAGGGAGGCAGAGGTTGCAGTGAGCCGAGATCATGCCATTCACTGCATTCCAGCCTGGGCAACAGAGTAAGACTCTCTCAAACAAAAAACGAACAAAAAAACACCCCGCAGAATTATTCTGACAAAATAAATTCACCATTTTAGAAAAGGATCATGGAACTCTGGATCAATATACTAATAAATCGAACTCTGTTCCTGCAAATGCAATTATTAAACATTAGTCTTATCTTTCAAATACTGATCAAGATGAAAACACACTATGTTCTGGCTTTATAATACGAACCACTGAGATTTAGGGTTAAGGCCAGAACTTTAGAATTATTCATCTTGAGATAAAATATATGGCCAAGTGTGGTGGCTCATGCCTGTAATCCCAGCACTTTGGAAGGCCAAGGCAGGTGGATCATCTGAGGTCAGGGTTCAAGATCAGCCTGACCAATATGGTGAAACCTGATCTCTACTAAAAATACAAATATTAGCTGGGTGTGGTGGCGGGTGCCTGCAGTCCCCACTACTCAGGAGGTAGAGACAGAATTGTTTGAACCTGGGAGGCAAAGGTTGCAGTGAGCCGAGATTGTGCCATTGCACTCCAGCCTGGGCGACACAGCAAGACTGCATCTCAAAAAAACAAACAAACAAAAATATATATATATATAAACATAAAACTATCTTCATATTTCTGGCTATAACCAAACTGGAACATTTGGGCCTTTTTCTTACTGTTAAAATGAAAAACTATCACTCAAAACTATAGTCTTTTGCTTTTTGTGAAAAGTTGACTCAACTTGTTGGGATGACTTTTAGACTAATAGGAAAAATCTATGTTCTTTGGTAGCTAACGAAGATATGTATTCCCACAACAATTTTTTAAACTGGCACACGTATTAAGAAACCTAGACTTCTGTAAATTAAATTTCTTATCTGCTGCATCTTCATGCTTGAAAATGCTAAATCGTTGACTCTAAAGATCACGTTTATTCATTTATTTTTTATCAGCCTCTTGAGCCACAGTAGGCCCAGAGAGACTCTAAAATCACTTTTAAACCCTCCCTCCTTTGAAAAAATTAATGGCATTGCCTGAGTTACAACACTAAGGATAAGTATATGTCAGGAAAAAATCCTCACATATAACAATATGAATTCTTACCTAAAGCATATGCAGCTAAAACTGAGCACACCTGTAAATTTGGCAGTATGTCCAGGTGGAAGGTTTCTAAGCCAAATAACTGAAATTGGGGCACTTACATGAAAGGCCAACAGCATTCTGATTGGGGTCTCAAGGTGGATCCTAGGCTGATATGATGATGTACAATGACTCAGCTCACAACATCAAGACTTTCCTACATCAGTTTTATTTAAAACACAAACAAGTATTTCTCTTTCTGTAAGGGCAAATGGTTCAAATAATGCGGAACACGAAACACTGACTAATACAAGTGCTTTAAATACGAAACAAAATTTTTTTTTTTTTTAAAAAAAGCAAAAGAATAAAGAATATATACAAAAGGGACCTGGAATCGGTAAGCTGATTCCAAAAATGAAATAAGTAGAAAATCTGTGGTGAAACCTGAACACTCTACTCCTGCTTTGGAGAAGGGCTATCATACAACATTCAGTCAGCTGAAGATGGATTGGCAGAGGTGTGTCTATACATGAATTTCAAGTCTTTTTTGCTGTGCAGAATCATCCAGGTCTTCCCAAGACTGAATGGGCAGTCCTGTGGCTTTCTTCCTTTTCCATATTCCCAACAAAGCTACGTGAAGTTCAACTCTTGATGAGCCGCTTACAACAGCAGTTCCTTAGGAGCCAACATGACAGGTGGGTCAGATTTCCCTATGAGAAACAAAACTGGCCACCTAGAGCAAAATATCAAAACGGACAAGTCCTTCCTTCCTCCTCCTTCTGATTATATACAACATATCTCCTTTCAAGACTATTATTCCCGTCGTGCTTATTCCTTCACAAATCTAAACCTTGAGGTGATATGAAGGAAACCAACATCAAGAAAAGAAAACTCAATTCAGAAATGAAGAAAACTGGCAGGTATACAATACACCCCCAGAACATCTCAATATCCCTGGCACAGTACAATTCAGTGTACTGCTACAGCCCACAGATAAATATTGGCAGCTTGAATAAGCTCGTTTTTTCCCTCAGGTGGTCAAAGGCCACCAAATAAATACTGGGCAACAGGAGTTTGTTGGGAGAGTTAGAAATAAAAAATTAACCAAATTTTGTCCCTGTGTTAATTCAATGCCAGTAAGGAGGCAGTACTGAAGAAGGGACAAGGAATACTAAAAAAGAATTCCTCTAATCATGTCACCATCTCATATAATGAATCCAGGGAATCCCAGAAATAGAAAATTAGTTTCAGGGGACCCCTGAGGCACTTTAAAGCCTTTTAAAAAATTACAGTAATAATAAATTAGATATTGCTCTTCAGAGGCTAAGAGAGCAGCAGAAGCATCAAAATCAGGTCCAAAGAGTTATGCCCACATTACAGGCTTCCTGAGCTGCTCAGCCCTCTTTAAAGCTTAGTTGAATCTCTAAATACCTTTAAAAAGACATACAATTTCACACAGACTGAGTGGGTATTTTTGTTTAGTGGTAGCATAAAATTTGGTCCTTAATGGTAGCAGCCGTCTTCATCCATTTCAAACTCAGGTAATATTAAGTACATCAAGACAATACATAAAGAATACAACAAAGGAGAAAAAAGCCAAAACTGACAAACACCTCAAGGAGTCACTAAATTCGCTTGTACCCTTTCACGTGGATCTCCTTCTCAGTCTCTTTTTTGTGGAGAGAAGGGTATGACAGAACTTTTTTCTCAAAAGATGATAAACAATGCCATCAAATGGACAAAATGGTTATAAAGTAACTTTAAAAATCTGACCCCAAGGAATCCAGGACACGTACAGATAATTCAGAGGTATACTTCTGATTTGGGGCAAATTCTAGACTAAAGAAATGATCATCTCAGGTAAATGTTATAATAGAGGAAACTAAGTCCAGTTTTTTGGTGAGTTTTTTTTTTTTTAAGTGTCCTCACTGCCACCTTCAGCTATCAATCATTTCTGAAAGCTCAAGCAGAAGGTCATCTTCATCCTTCCCAGGATCCAGGTCAATCTCGGCTTCCAATTTGCCTCCTGAAATCTCCCATATTAGTTTCTCAAAATCATCCTCCACAGAGAGTGGGGGCTTTCCTGTTGAGGCAGAGCTGAGTCGGCGAGTTTTCATGCTCATTTGGGATGAGGAAGGGCCAGACACCTCCGGGGGCGAGGGATCTGAAGAGGACTGGGTTGGAGGCCGCGCAAAAATGTAAAAAAAAAAAAAAAAAAAAGATTAGAAAACTGCCCTTTTTTCAATAGTTGGCTGAATTACCTAGTCTCATGGACACAAAGAGTGAGCAAAAAACTGTTTCTAAGAATATACATAAAGAAAGAATTCTTGCTCTTTTTCTTCAGCAAGGCAGCTGAGTTGGTTGGTGGCGGAAGTCGTGAGGCAGATGCAGAAGCAGATCTTTGTGAAGACCCTCACGGGCAAGACTATCACCCTTGAGGTCAAGCCCAGTGACATCGCTGAGAATGTCAAAGCCAAAATTCAAGACAAGGAGGAACCTGACCAGCAGCGTCTGATATGTGCTAGCAAACAGCTGGAGGATGGCCGCACTCTCTCAGACTAAAACATCCTGAAACAGTCCACCTTGCACCTGGTGCTGCGCCTGGGAGGTGGCATTATTGAGCCTTCCCTCCACCAGCTCGCCCAGAAATATAACTGTGACAAGATGATCTGCCAAAAGTGCTATGATCACCTGTACCCCATGCTGTCAACTGCTGCAAGAAGTGTGGCCACACCAACAACCTACTCCCCCAAGAAAGTCAAATAAGCCTCTGCCTTCCTCAAAGGACAGCCTCCTGCCCAGGACCCATGGCCCTGGAGCCTCAATAAAGTGTCCCTTTTGTTAAACATATAAATAGTTATTTTACTGATTTGGGACCAAGCATTTTTTTTTTTTTTGAGGCAGGGTTTCCCTTTGTTACCCAGGCTGGAGTGCAGTGGTACAATGACGGGTCACTGCAGCCTTGACCTCCTGGGCTCAAGTGATCATTCCGCCTCAGCCTCCCAAGTAGCCAGGTCTACAGGTGTGTCACCATGCCAGGCTAACTTTTTGGATTTCTATTAGAGAGATCTCACTATGTTGTCCAGGCTGGTCCTGAACTCCTGAGCTCAAGCAATTCTCCAGCCTCAGTCTCCTAAAGTGTTAGGACTACAGGCATGAGCCACCTTGCCAGGCCAGCACCAAGCATTTTTATAACTCAAAGTAGGTGTTAAATCTTTTAGGGGCTGGGCATGGTAGCTAACGCCTGTAATCCCAGCACTTTGGGAGGCTGAGGAAGGCGGATCACTTGAGATCAGGAGTTTGAGACCACCCTGAACAATGTGGCAAAACCCTGTCACTACTAAAAATATAAAAATTAGCCGGGCCTCATGGCAGGCACCTGTAATCCCAGCTACTTGGGAGGCTGAGGCAGGAGAATCACATGAACCCAGGAGGCAGAGGTTGCAGTGAGCCGAGATTGCGTCACTGCACTCCAGTCTGGGTGACACAGTGAGACCCTGTCTCAAACAAAAAAACAAAAAACATCTTTTAGGTAATATAGACAAATGTAAACAGTGGCGCCAAAGGAGAAAAGCAACCCTGTATTTTCATACTTTTTTGCAATTAATTTTAAGTGCAGCAGATTTATTTAGATGTTGCTAAACTGTTTAAAGTTATTTGTCAGTGTTATTCTCTAGAGAGTCTAAACTGTAACAGGGACCTGGAGTTTGTTTACAAAGAATTAAAAAGTATTACCTGTCTCTAGGATTTTCTGCTTCAGGCACAGTGGCTGATTTGTCCTCAGAGACGAGCGGGACAACAGCCTACAAAAGGAAGAGTCAGGTAATTCAGCGAGAGTCAGGCTTTTTAATTTCAGCATATTCATTTTCTTTTGCTGCCTTCTTAGAATCAAGGCTATCCTTCTTGAAGCCTGAGAATCTAAGAATCAATAATCTTAGGCTGAGTGTATAAATAAGCAAAACATCTTGCCACCTAAAACTTGGCTTTCAAAAAATCCTGCCCTGCTACTTTACAAACATCCAACTTTAAGTGTAAAATACAGTAATGACCCAAACTACTAAAATGCTAGGAAATGCCAGGAAGTGATATACACAGGTATAGAGCGCTAGTAGAGAGTTACAGTCTTTCCTGCTTTTCTACCACATAGAATAAAGCACCATGGAAGTGAATATACTTCTTACCACAGCTGCTTTTTTGGCTGGGATTTCCTGTAGGACACTGCTAGAGCTCAGTGGCTTCACAGCGGCAATGACAGCAGGGTGCATCTCCACTGCTTTACGTTTTGGGGCCAATTTGGGGGATGACACAACTTTAACCACAGATGGCTTCACATTCACTTTGGGTTTAGCTACAAGGGCAGAAAATACCTGATTAACAGCTAAACTCTTTTTTACATGGAGAATAATTTAGAATAAAATACCAAAACTCCTTCAGTACTTGAAATACCACAAATAATTTATTAAAAAAGAGACTGAAAATGATCCTAAGGCAATTTGTGGTCACCACGGTGGTCACTATGTAGATATAATGCCTCTTAAATTTGTTACCATTCCTTTATTCCTTTTCTTCAATACCAGAGGAGAGATGCAACACAAAGTTTTACATTAAGCTTTTTAAACAGCAATTTAAAATCCTGAGAAAGGAACTTATCTAGCTTTGCCTTTGTAAAATAATATCAGAAATATTACTATCTACTTGTGGACATAAGGCAAATGAAACTCAAACCAATCGTTGCCAGTAACTTCCTGGCAACGATTGGTTTGAATTTGGTAATTTTGATAAGCTAAAGCAATATAGAGTATAGCAAATACTTGCCTTTACCCCTTTTTTCCAAGGTCTGTGCTGCACATTTCACATTCAATACTGAGTCTCCAATCCCTGAGGTTTCTACCTCTACCTTCTGGGATGACTTTGTGGGAAGCCGCTTGGTCAGGTGCCGTGTGACTCCTGGCATAGCAGTGAGCACTGGTTTCTCTGCCACTTGCGTATTGCAAGAGGCTACATCTCCCCAAAGAGGGGTCAAGACGGATTTTTCCCTCTCCTGCTGTTTCTGTATGTGTTTCTCTCTCATGGTCTCACATCTCTTGACTTGAATTTTAGTAATGTCAACTCCTGTGGTCTCACCTGAAGGCTGTAAATAAATTTAAATGACAGAATTAAAATATGGTACCTCTAATAACCTGTATGATGTAAGTACCAGACTACATTTAAGTTAAGCAGAGTCTGCCATGACTTAGAAACTGAGAGAAAAGCTCTTTATTTGATGCTAGACGATACCATTAAAGAGGAAAGATCATAAAAAAACCCAGATTCTACAAACTAGACAACCATGACTCTAAGTCAAATACTAATGATTCCTAAATAATCAAATACTTGCACAAAGATTTACATACAAAGATACTTTATTTATAATTGTGTAAAACTAAATCTAAATGTCCAGAAAAAGACTATATTTATATAATGGAGAATCATATGGAATCATATGGCCAGTAAAAACAAACTTCTTTTTTTTTTTTTTGAAATGGATTCTCACTCTGTCACCCAGGCTGAAGTACAGTGGCATGATCATGGCTCACTGCAACCTCCGCCTCCTGGATTCAAGCAATTTTCCTGCCTCAGTCTCCTGAGTAGCTGGGACTACAAGCGCACAGCACCACATCCGGCTAATTTTGTATTTTTAGTAGAGATGGAGTTTCACCATATTGGTCAGGCTGGTCTTGAACTCCTGGCCTCGTGATCCACTGGCCTCAGCCTCCCAAAGTGCTGGGATTACAGGTGTGGGCCACCATGCCCAGTCAAAGCAAACTTCTTGAAGGATTATTAACATGGTAAAGTTAAAGCAGGCTGTAAAGTTCTCAATTATGTTCTAAACATGGGTTTAATGTTAAACAAGTTCACGTGCATGCATATACATATATAAACAAAACGGTTGAAGAAGGCCAGGTGCGGTGGCTCACACATGTAATCCCAGCACTTTGGGAGGCCAAGGCAGGTGGATCACTTGAGGCCAGAAGTTGGAGACCACTCTGGACAACATGGCAAAACCCTGTCTCTACTGAAAAAATACAAAAATTAGCCAGGTGTGGTGGTGCATGCCTGTGATCCCAGCTATGTGGGAGGCTGAGGCATAAGAATAGTTTGAAGTGCCGGGCGCGGTGGCTCACGCCTGTAATCCCAGCACTTTGGGAGGCCGGGGCGGGTGGATCATGAGGTCAAGAGATCGAGACCATCCTTGTCAACATGGTGAAACCCCGTCTCTACTAAAAATACAAAAAATTAGCTGGGCATGGTGGCG